TATAATATAATAATTAATAATCATAATCATAATAATACATATATAATATATAATAATACATCTATCTATCTATCTATATATTATATATATATTATATATATATATATATATATATAACACATATGTATGTGTGTCTATCTGCAGTCGTCTCTCACGCGGCTAGCGCGGCAGGCCGTCGGTAAGATGGAGGTGAAGCGCTATCACGGCAGCGGAGGCGAGGAGGAGGAGGAGGAGAGGAGGGAAGCTGCAGAGAAGCCCCAGCGGCCACATCCATCGCTAGCGACCGGCTCTCAGCCTCAAGTCGACGCAGAGATGTGCGTCGTCTGCCTCGAGGAGTACGCAGACGGAGTGGTAAGCCGGCGCCACCTGGCGACGCGATCTCGCGAGGCCGCGCTATTTCGAGAATTTTGAATTGAAAATTAAATGACAGTTTACAAAATATCTTATTATCATTTTATCGACTATAAAATTGATAAAATTGTTGATTATTCTTCATAAAATGAAATGAAATAAATATTTAAAATAAAATTTTTAAATAAAACCTGATGAAAACTCCAAACTGATTGAACAGCTGCGGGCAAACAGCTAGTGAACAAATCATTGTCGCGGTAGGCACACTAAAGACATGCTTAGCATCAAAGTGTCACATCGAAGTGTGCGAGCACTGAAAAAACGCACTAGCATACACTTGCCAAGCAGCAGCATCCACACAGGGTATCAGCTCGTACGGAATTTCTCCTTCGGGGAAAAGGGGGGAGGGGCCAGCGAGGGTTCCATCGACGGTCGTTGACGCGCGCACGTTCTCTTGTCGTCTTGCAGGAGCGTGCGCGTGCTGCCGTGCGGCCACGAGTCCACAAGCTGTGCGTCGACCAGTGGCTGCGTGTCGCGGCGCACCTGCCCGCTCTGCTGCTACAACATTGTCGACGGCAAGTACGACGCCACCTCCCTGCCCTGCGCCGACCCTCCCCCCGCCCCGCCCCGCCCCGGCGTGGCTCCCCGCAACCATACCGCAGTGGGAACCCTCCGGCGGGGGCGCGCGGCGTCGGCGGGGCCGCCAGGGGCGGCCGCCGCAGACGTCGATCTTCGCGCCGATTTCGAACGGCGGCGCGCTGTTCTGAACGCGGCGCGGCGGCCGAGCCGACGCCGGCGGCGAACCTAGGGGCGGCGAGCGGCGGCGCGGGCGCGACGCGGCGCGCCCCTCACGCGCGCGCCGCACCGCTGCGGCGGCGGGAGCGGAGGATGTGTCGCGGACTCGTGCAGGCGAGAGCTCTCGCGCCGATACCGTCGACGGCAGTTCGAGCGACGGCGGAGCTGCCACGAGGGGCGTCACCGTGCGCTGCGTCTGTCAGCGTGAGGGCGGCGGCGCGACCTCTGACGGCCGGCGTGAACTCTGACCTCGTGGCGGGCGGCGGCCATCGCGCGGCGGTGCATCTGCGTTCCGACGGTCGCGCGTCTTCCGCGATCGACGGAGAGCCGGACGCGAGGACATCAGCTGCAGCAGCACTCGTCGGCTAGAGGACTGCAGAGGGCGCCGCGGAGCAGTGCGTCGTCGACGTGCAGCGACGTGAGAGAGGCGCCACCGGAGGAATGTGTCGACGCGCAGAGACGTGTGAGGGCGCCACCGGAGGAATGTGTCGACGCGCAGAGACGTGTGAAGGGCGGCCACCGGAGGAATGCGTCGTCGACGCGCAGAGCGTGTGGAGGGCGCCAGCCCGGAGAATGTGTCGACGCGCTGCGCCGTGCGAGGGCAGCCCGTGCGTGTAACAGACTGCGGAGCGCACGCAGCAGCGATGGACGAGGGCACCACAGTACGCCGAGGATGCCGCCGCGGCGCAGAGGCACGGCGAGGGCGCCCCGTTCGCGGGGGATCACCACGAGGGGGCGGAGGCGCCGACACCGGCGAACACAGATTGGCCGCCGCCGCCGCACACAGACAAGTCGCTGCAGCTAGCAGCGAGCGGCTGGCCTCCGTCGCCGCCGCCTCCCCGCCTCCCCGCGAAAACCTCCCCACGAAACGCCCGCTCCCCCCGCCGCCGCGGGGGGGAGGCGGCGCGACCGCAGGCTAAGTGCGAGGCGGAGACGCGGCGCCGTGGAACAAGCGCGCGTCTGTCAGCAGCAAGCGCGAGCGCCTAAAGGCCGAGCCACTCTACGTCGATCTTCCCGAGAGCTCGCGCGACGGACGTCTCGACGCGCGCGGCGCCCCCTGCAGGCGGCACGTGGCGCGGGGTCGGGCGCGGCGGTGAGCCGGGGAGGAAGAGCGCGTCGGCTGCGGTGGCGTCCGGCGGAGGAGGAGGAGGAGGGGGAGGAGGAGGAGGAGGAGGATGGAGCGGGAGGAGCGAGGAGAGAGGAGGAGGAGGAGGAGGGGGAGGGCAGGAGGGTGTGGCTGTTTGCGCGGGGGTCGTCACAGTACACGTGCAACAGCCGCGAGATTCACGTACACGATCCCGACGGGCCTCCAGCAGGCCGAGGTGCGCTTCATGCGGTGCAAACGACCCCTTTGTTCATGTTACTGCTGCTTTATTAATTTATTTATTTGCTGATTTATTTATTTTATATTACTACTACTTTATTTATTTATTTATTTATTTATTTATTTATTTCATGTTACTGCTAATTTATTTATTTATTTATTTAGTTTCTTATTTATTTATTTCATATTACTGCTGCTTCGTCTAGTTGTGTACATGACTGTATTCATTGTTTTCTTGAACCCCGTTTTAGCGCGACCCCGCTTTTTTCGCGATGACATTTTATGGACCTCAACGATCGCGATATATAACGGGGCTACACTGTATATATATATATATATATTTCATGATTATTAATGTAGTGTTATTGTTTCCAGGGACCACTATCACGATTCCCCTGGAGCAGCAGGAAGATTACGATCCCATTGACGTCGTATGACCTTTGACCTCTGCCCGATCGCTCACCGCCAGTAGGAAATTTCACGTGGCATCAGTCGTGGCGTGGCGACGACGACGACCCGGCGACCTCGCGCTCTTGTGTTTTTCGTCACGCTTCTTCGCTCAATTCGCGTGGGACACTTGTTTTGCGTCAGCGTTCACGTCTGCGGAGACGCGTGCTGCGCCCCCTGGTGACTGCTGGCACACGTGCATCTGTGGTGCGCCCCCTGGTGTGGGCCGCTGCCCGCGCACGCGTGTGGCGCCACCTGGCGACGATTGTTTTTTGCATGCGAAGTCGTCACGTTTGTTTGTTTGTTTGTTTTTTCGTCGGAGAACGCCATCTGTTAAATATGTAAACTAGTGTGCAAGAGAGTGAGACCAAAGGCAGGCTCGGCTGTACATAGATCGTGGCGGAAACGCCGTCGCGCAGTTGTTTTCCGCCGCCGCAAACGGAGGCCGGGAGCGGAAGCGCGTTCTTTTGTTTTTAAGTTTGGCACGTTTGTTTTTTGCGGCTCGCCCTTGTAAATACGTTCTCTGTGTCGGTAGTTTGACGGCGCGCTTTGTAAGCGAACGCCCGCGAATTTACTACGGATACAGAGAGATCAGAGAGATGAGGACCTAACATAGGTATTTATTGTATTTATATTCGTAATATATTAAGAGAAAAAGATCTATATACCGCTGTTAACTAAAACAAGAAAGCTTCAGCCGTCGTTCGTCGTTGTCGCGGGGAATGTATGATGTGGAAAACTGTGACTGTAGTGGTGGCTGGTGTTAGCAGATCCCCACCTTCTCCCCCTCTCCCTGCCACCTTCTCCCCCTGTCACTGCCACCTTCTCCCCCTCTCCCTGCCACCTTCTCCCCCTGTCACTGCCACCTTCTCCCCTTCTCCCTGCCACCTTCTCCCCCTCTCCTGCCACCCTCTTCTCCCCTTCTCCCTGCCACCTTCTCCCCCCGTCACTGCCACCTTCTCCCCCTCTCCCTGCTCACCGCCTCCCCCCTGCCGTCACTGCCACCTATTCATTCTTCCCCTTCTCCCTGGCACCGGCCTCCCCCTCTTGTCACTGCCACCTTCTCCCTTCTCCCTGCACCTTCTCCCCTCTCCTGCC